CTTCATGTCCTGGCAGCCTCTTGGGCTCATTTTATAGGGGGGTTTAGGGTTTATAGGGTTTAGGGTTTAGGGTTTAGGATCTTCATGTCCTGGCAGCCTCTTGGGCTCTTTTTATTGAGGGTTTAGGGTTTAGGGTTTAGGGAGTTTAAGTTTTAGGGTTTAGGGCTTAGGGTAGCCTTTTGGGGGCTCTGTTTATTGGGGGGTTTTGGGGGGTTGAGGGTGGGTGGGTTTTTAGAGTCTGGAAGTGGGCGGTTTAGGGCTTCGGAGTTTAGGTGCGCGGTGGGCGGTTTGGGTTTTTAGGGGCTGACATACATCGGATCGGCGTAATCTAGAAGCCTAGTAGACTAGATAGCCTGTTTTTTTGAGGGAGGGCCTCTGTTCTGTTCGGTTTGTGGCATAAGGGGCTTGGGGTCAATCGTTCGGGGTAGTCACTACCCGTCACGGCCGTCACTGCCCCGAAGCGATGCGATACACTTCAGAGCTTTGGTTTCAGCTTTGGGGACGACTGGTCCCCAAGGCCTTGTAGCTCTGTTGAGAGGTCAGCTTGGGATGTAGATGGGTTTAGGGTTTAGGGTTTAGGCTTCGCGAGCAGGGTACTCAGCACAAGTTTGGCCAAGGTACATCAATGCGGAGGCCATCCGTCCGGATGTGCTGCCCCAGACAAGGACCGACTTTAGGCGTTGTCTTCTAGATACCCTACAGTTCTGAGAGTTGCTATCTTGGAGCCCCACTGTAAACCCCAAACCCTAGACCCTAGACCTTAATCCCTAAACCCTAAACCCTACACCCTAAACCCTAAACCCTAAACCCTAAACCCTAAACCCTAGACCCTAAACCCTAAACCCCAGGGTTTGGGGCTACAGGAAGGGTCGAGGGCCGGATCCAGGGTTTGCGGCTCTTTTCAGTTGTGCCGGCGCTTTCAGGCTCGTCCTTGCCAACGTCTGCGATCTTCGATTGCTCCTTTGCTGCAGAGGCTTTGGACTAGCTCGACGATTCTATGCAGTAGGTTACGGCTTAGGTTTGGGGGTTTATGTTTCTCTGTATGTTGACAGGGGCCCTAGGCCCTTGAATTCGCCACAACAGCACTAACTACTTGTCTGCCCGCCCTCGTAGCTTCAGGGGCCTCTGGACTTCTGCGGTAACAGATGGCCTAGACCCTAAACCCTGAACGCTATTTAGGGTCGCACCTGCAGCCCAGAACCCTTAGAAGCAGGAGCTTGTTGGATGCAGAGGTGGGCCATGGCAAGCCCTAAAGCCAAGAAGAGAAGAGCTTCCAAACCTTGAAAATCCCCTTGCCCTAAAGCCTTTTTTTGTCCCTACAGCACTATAGAGTCTAGTAGAAATCCGAGGTGACGGGTTGGGGTTGCTTCAGGGTGCCGGGGTTTTGTGCACAGCCTTTCAGTCGACCAGGCCAGGCATTCTTTAAAGCTGTAGGAGGTCCATTTTTGAGGTTCTAGTAAGGTTCTTCGGGCTGCCCTGCGGGTCCTAAATGGAGTTCTTCAGAGTTGTCCGTTTTGGTCAGGTCCCTGGGATCTTTTGTTGTATTTTATGTTTATTATGTTTGGTTGTTTTTGTATTGTTGGTTGGGCGGCGTCCCTAGTGAAGTTGAAAATGCGTGGCTATACACTTCGTGTAGGTTGTGGTTCACGGTTGAAACATGGTCCGCTATGAGGAGTGATGTTGGTTTGGGCAGTGGTGCCGTATGTCGTGAGCAGCAATCAATACGGGATTGTGGGAGAAGCTCCAAGGAAAGAGCAAAGCCAGAGTGATGATAGTATCTATGCCGTTATCATTTACAGTTACAGTTCTAGCCGTTGCTTTTCGTAGAGATATTTGTGCTCGTTATGGTCATTGGTCTGTGGCTACTATGATTATTGGCACGGTTCTGGAAGCGTGTAGAAGTAGTTGTTGCTGTAGCAGTAGCCTTAAACTTCCAGAGCCTCTCATGTCACAAGAAGTTAATATAGGGGCCGTAATAATTATCTATGATATTTTGGGGGGGTTCCTTATTCTGATTATGGTATAATGGGCCCCAAAACCCCATTCTGATTATTAAGGCCCCTACATTATGGCCTTGTCCTCCCAGGCTTTGCCATGACACTGAGCAAGAGATGGCGAAGATGGCCACTGACCTGGCCGAGAGTTTCAAAATGAATTTCTTTTAAGTCTTAGGCCTCACAGCAGCTCGCTTCGGGGAGGGCGGTGGCAGGCTCCAACAAAAGCATTGAAGCGAAGACTTCTGGCGACGACGGGTTTTTTCACCAGTGCCCGCTTGTCGCCAGGAGAGTCTACCGGTCATCCTGAGGGAAGCTCTAGGCTTTAAGGGGCCTGGCGCCTGAGGAAGCGAGATTGCCTTGAGGCAGTCTTGACACCCATTGTGGTGCAAATACCCGCGGTTGGACCAGTATGATGTATGCGACGGCGAGTGTAGGGCTTCTTCCGTTCATAAAGACGTTGATGGCTTCGAGTCCGGATAGCAGATGCCACCGTGAACTCAGCCAGAGCCAAAGCTTAGAGCCTCAATCCCGGAACCCTGATTGCTCTTGCCTGGTCAGAGCTTACGAAGTCGCCGTCTGCGCCGGAAGGTGAACCTGGATCCTCAAAGCCTAATCCTCAATGATTACAAGCCTTAGGCACACCGAAGCCGACTGAACCCCAAGCAATCCATCATACCTGAGCCTAGAAACACTTGAAACGGAAACCCTTATAGGCATAAACCACTCCACACGAAAACCCTTAAGCCTAAACCTTAAAACGGAAACCGTAAGCCTAAACCACTCAACCTGGAAACCCATTATACACACGCCGTCGCCGGTGGCCCCTGCCGCACGCGCCCGCGCTTCTCAGCCTTAGCCTTAGTTGGCTTCTAAGCCATTTGTGATTTGTGGAGGTGTCTAGGGATGTAGGGCCCCAGGGCTTGGGGTTACGGTTTCAGGGCCTCAGGGCTTGGGGTTACGGTTTCGGTTCAGGGCTTCTGCGGAGGTTTTAGGATTTTAGGGCTCGGGTTTCAGGATCAGGTGCGATTTAGGGTTTAGCGTCTGCGGCTTCGTGGTGCGGCAGTTGGCAGACAGTCGACAGGGCGCAGGGATACAGGGGTTTTGGGCTTAGGGTTTGGGGATTTAGGTTTTAGGCATTTAGGGTTTAGTTCTTAGCGTTTAGGGATTTAGGGCAATCTTAGTGTTCAGGGATTTAGGATTTGGGTTTCAGAGTTTGGCGTCTATAGGCTTCGGGATAGCAACCTCTTGTCATGTTTGCAGGTTGCAAGGGGTTTAGGGTTTAGGTTTTAGGATGCAGCTGCGTATGATTTCTCTGGCTTCAACATCACAGGGAGGAGGTTGCCTTACGCCTGCAGAAAGAGGCCCTACTATAGGGGCCTTAATAATTAGAATAGGGTTTGGGGGTATATTATACCATATAATGATACTAAAGAACCCCCAAAACCCTTTAACTATTATGGCCCCTACATTACGAGAAACGGCCGTAGAAATCAGGGATCCACGCTGCAAATCACATCGCATAGCCCGCCAAGGGGGGCTGACAGGCGAACGAGGACACACTTCTCACGAGAGCTTGAGTGGCGATTCATCCTTCCCCCTGCTTTAGGGTTATAGGACTTATGGGATAGAATATAAGAATATAACCCTAAACCCTAAACCCTAAACTGGGTTTTTTTGTAAAGTGGATGAGGTTTAGAGATTGGGGCTTAGTGCCGGGACCGGGGTGATTGCCCTTACGAGCCCTCAGAATCTCGAAAGGCAGGCCGCTTCTTGTTATATCGGAACCGGCCATGCGTTGCAAGTCGAATGACCTTGCACCGAAGTAAGTGACCTGTTTAAACCTCTACAGGCTAGCACAACCCCTATGCGGTGATCAAGACCCAAACCTATATGGCTTAGAGGGTCGCTGTTCAATCTATCCGTCCGAAACAGCCATGAGGTAGGCTCCCTTCTTAGTTAGGTGAGGACCTTCCCTCAAGGGTGTGTAAATCATGGGTCTCACAGCCAAAAGGGACACCGAATGAACTCCCCATATATCGAAGATCTTTGCAACGTGCTAAACCCTAAACCCTAAACCCTAAACCGTGGCAAAAGCCTTGCAACGCATGGCCTGTTCGTCTTAAGCTTTCTTCTCTCGCGGCTCACAAACGGTTTCCTCTCTGCGAAGTTGGCTTGGATTCCGGAAGGGCCCATGCGTGCGCAGCCTAGAGTTCTTCATTGGGTACGAGTCTGAAGAAGCGGTGTTTTCGGGCTTTCATCGGAGCTTCAAGAAATGATGTATTCTGTTGTGTCCCCAAATCTTTCCACACTAACGCGAAATTCTTCAAGGCTTACGATCCCATCGAGCCTGCAACTTGAAGAGCTCAGGGGGTTATAAAGGACTAAAAAGCCTTAAACTTAATCTGCGATGCTCACATGCTCCCCAAATCTCCTTCTTGAGCCCCTATTGTAGTTTTTGAAGGAGCACTTAAGAACAAGCTCACCAGCATGGACCCTCTGTGATGCTTACATCATAGGGACCCTTAGGGCTTATACTTCCTCTCACAGGCCTTCGTAGTCTTAAGGCCCCTAAACCCTAAACCCTAAACCCTAAACCCAAAGCCCCTAAGGGTCCCTATGGTCACATGCTCGGAGTGGAGAGCTCATCTGCCATGGGGGCCATGAGCGGCTCTGCTCAAGAACCTTTTCAGGTAGCTGGTGAGGTATGACGGCTCCTTTAAACTTACTAAGGGGTTTAGCACGGCTCCTTTAAAGGATTAGGGGCCCGGGGATTATAGGCCTCAGGGTTTTTAGATTTTTGGGTTCAGGTTTTCAAGGGTTCTATTGCTTGGAGGATCATGGGACTTAGTAAGTAAGGTTATAAGTCCCCTAATTGGGGTTATAAGTATAGTTACCTACTTACTAAGTCCCATGATCCTTTAAGTACTAAACCCTAAACCCTAAACCCTAAACCCCTAAACCCTAAACCCTAAACCCTACTTACTAAGTCCCATGATCCTTTAAGTGGTGTTTGCGTTTGCGGACTGCAGGTTGAGAGTTCAGGATACAAGGCTCCCGGGCTTGGGAAAGGGGAGAGCTTTCATCCTAGTTCCTTAGCAGTTCCCTTTTTGCTTGTTTTTACGGTTTAGGGTTTAGGGGTTTGGGTTTTGGGTTTTGGGTTTAGGTGGGATGTCAGTTAAAAACCGACATGACGACGGAGCCAGATGCCATACCTACCGATAGCTGCCTGACGACGCTCTTGAACCTCGTGCATCTTTAGATGGATGCATTGTTCCAAGCATGTCTCCCGCGGGTGGCTGCCAGAAGCCGAACAAATCGGAGATCACCCGCCCTGCACAGCCAGCCAAATTAAGAGTACCTGTTACCTGTATACTGTGTACGTGGTCCTTTGTTCTAGTTACCCACCTTCAATTCGTCCATCTTCATCCCACCTTTACCAAGCCCTTCGGGGAAAATAGGAACAGCCTTAGGTCTGTTGAGTTTGGGGCGGTTGCGGTGGGGTTCAGTGTTTTCTTGCAATTGAAAGGCTTTTTAGATTTTCGACGTACGCGGCCACCAAACCAGTACCAACCAAACCCTAAACCCTAAACACTAAACACGATCATCAGTGAAAACACTTCGAGCGGAAGGCTGCCACATTTGGGAGCAAATCCTTTCAAGCCAAGACACTTTCAGTTCTCCCCGCAGGTTCAAGTGCCGAAACAGGAAGACCGACATCGGGCTTTGAGCAAAGGCTTAGGGGTCTAGGGTCTAGGGTCGAGGGTTCAGGGCTTCGGGGTCAAGTTTCCGGGTGCATTCAAGGTTCTTTACGAATTAGGGTCAGTGATTTGGACTTCGCGTGCTCACCTGAATCCTAAACCCTACAAAATCCTACAATCCATTTATACGATTTTGCAAAGCCTTATTCTCCACCTTAATGGCTCATAGAACTCGAAGAAAATGGTCAAATCTCGGCTAAT